ACTCTTGGGCTTAAGCAATTCTCTTGCCTCAGCCTCCCAAGTAGCTGGGACTACAGGCGCCCACCACAACACCTGGCTTATTTTTTGTTGCAGTTGTCATTGTTTTAGCTGCCCTGGGGTGTGTGGCTGGCGCCTTACCCAGCCTTATCCACCAAGCTACTCGTACTGCCTGAGTAGACAGAGTCTCACTAAGTCAGCCCTGGTAGAGTGTCTGGCATCACAGCTCAGAGCAACCTCAAATTCTTGGGAAATACAGGCATAAGCCCTGCATTAGTGAATTCAGAGAACAGTGGACCAGGAATATCAATAAAATGCACAGGCAAATTTATGACATTCTGATGCAAACAAAAACTAGAAAATGGGTATTAGCTCAGAGTGGGCTTCTGAGGAAGAAACATTTAAACAGTCAGGAAACAAGAGTGCAGAATTCCAAGTAGAAAGAATGGGAATTCTTTTTCCCCTTATCTCCCCCAAATACCTACTGTTTAAAAAAAGTGTACGTTGGCTCAGCGTCAGTAGCTCAAGCAGCTAAGGTGCCAGACACATACACCAGAGCTGGTGGGTTCGAATCCGGCCCTGCCCTGCCAAACAACAATGACAACTACAACCAAAAAATAGCCGTGCACTGCAGCGGGCACCTATAGTCCCAGCTACTTGGGAGACTGAGGCAAGAGAATCACTTAAGCCCAGGAGTTGGAGGTGGCTGTGAGCCGTGATAACCACAACACTCTACCCAGGGCAACAGCTTGAGGCTGTGTCTCAAAAAAATAAACAAACAAAAGTGTTAGAAGGCCATTATTATTCTTATTTCCCTTTGTACATTACCAATGTATTCCCTCTGGACATTTGTTCAAATTCTTTATATCTTTTAATGCAGCTCTTTGTCAGGACATATTTTGGTATTGATTGTGTTATAGTAATATTTTTATTTTGTATTGAATCCTTTTAAATCTTATCAAGTTCACCAAAGAGAATTTAGGATGCAGTTTCTGCTGCTCCTGTCTGCTAGCCATGAGAATGGTATGACATGTGAGCTAAGCCTAGACCTATGGATGTTTACCTTTTCCACTGGAAATTGGATTTAATGACCACAAAAATCTCTTTCAAGGGCTGGGGTCAGTGGTTCATGCCTGTAACCCTAGCACTCTGGGAGGCTGAGGCAAGACTAACACTTAAGCCCAAGAGGTTGCTGCGAGCTATGACACCATGGCAGTCTATCAAGAGTGACAAAATAAGACTCACACACATAAAAAGAAGACTCTCACACACAAAAAAGAAGTCTCTTTCAACCCAGCAATTTTAAAATGTTTCAATTCACTGGCGCTTAAACACTTCTTGCAGTCATGGATTCATTTAAATATTTGATGCAAATCTGGACCAACTTCAATTTAAAAAAAGGGACCAACATAGCAGAATTGTACTTAACTTTTCAGGGGCTTGGCCCAATTTGCATAACATGCCAGGTCACATACCCTGAGCTATCTTAAAAGAGATACTAAAGACCAAGAAGCTGTAGATGGATTATTAAATATTTTAAATGTTTGTGTCATTATTAATTTTTACCCAATTAAGGGGATCTATAAGGATCTGCATGCAACAGGAAACGTCTTCATTACTTTCAGACCTTTTAGCTTACTTGCTATACTTAACAGTTATGTCTGGGCAATTTTACAGTTTTCCTCAGTGTTCGGTTCTCAAAAATCATGCTACTAAAAAGCAAAATAGGCCAGACATGGTGGCTCAGCCCCGTAATCCTAGGATTCTGGGAGGCCAAGGTGGGTGGAATGCTTGACCTCACAAATTCAAGACAAGCCTAAGCAAAAGCAAGACCCTCATCTTTAGGCTCAGTGTCTGTGGCTCAAGCGGCTAAGGCACCAACCACATACATCTAAGGTGGTGGGTTCAAATCC